AGAAATATTTCGTTTTCTGAAAAGTGGAAAGTTTCCTCTGATGCAGACGGGGCCATGTGCTTCCTGGACACGGCGCCTTCTGCTGCTGGACGCTCGGCGGGGCGGGAGCTGGGCCTGCTCTGCGGGGCTCCTTCACGAGGCGCCTGACTGCGTCTCGGCTGGGAACGGGGCTCCCAGACCTGCGGGGCCCTGACACAAGCTGCACGAGGTCCCACCTCCCGCCTGCTCTGCTCCGCGCCAGCTGGGGGCCCAGCCAGAGACACGGGGGCAGCAGCGTGTGGGGCCAGTGTCCTGGGCACCCCAGCCGGCTGCTCAGGGTGGGGCGGGGGGCGAGAGGCTGAGGCCACTAGCACACTGAGGTCCTAAGGGGCAGGCGTGTCTGGGTGGACCGGTGTGCCCTGGTGGGCAGGTGTGTCCTGGTAAGCAGGGGTGACGCAAGCAGTGCATCAGAAGGAGCCAGTGACATCAGGGCAGGGTCGTGACCTGTCCTGGCACAGAGGAGGCCGGCTCCTGGCACCACGGCCTCTCTCCCCGGGTGCTCTCCCGAGTGCCCGCTCAGAGACAGTCGGCTCTGAGCAGGGAAGGAGGCTGTCCCCTGGGGCCTGGAGAAGCCACCTCTGCCCAGAGACTCAGGGAGCTTTGTAAACAGCTCAGGTGCCCCCTAAACACGCACGGACACTTCTGAGTCGGAGAGGAGACAGGTCTGGGGAGGCGGCGGCTCTGTGGCGGGGACCCAGACCCCGCCCTTGCATCCACGCTCCTCGGCCCCTCTTGGAGCTCATGGCAGCCCCTTCTCTAAGTGACAAGCCTCCGAGTGACGTGCTGGGGCCGAGCTTTGCTGACACCTCTGGCGGCTGATCTGGAAAGGGGCTGTGGGCCAAGGGGCCTCGGCTCTGAGAATTCTCCATTTTGGAGAAAATTTGACCAAACGGGCCTAACTCTGAGAGAGACCAGAGAGTCTGGGCAGGCTGAGGACAGGAGGCAGCAGGGGTGGACGGTGGGGGTGGCAGTGTGGCAGCAGAGACACCCCATCCCAATCACAGCCAGCCTCCCAGTCCTCAGCTGCTGGAGTCCAGGCCCTCAGGAGGCCGGGGTCCAGGGGGCTCGGGGTGTGGAGAGCCTCGGCCTCCTCTGTGCCACATCGAGAGGCCTGCGGGCTGGCTGGGGGGGAAGGCCCCTCCCCCACACCAAGGCCTCACAGGGCGCCTCCTCCACCTCCCACCCCAACTGCAGGAAACCGGCGGAAAAGACCCCCCAAGCAGAGAGCCTGTGGTTAGTGGCACCTCAACTCGGCAAGGCAGCCCCACCGCCATCCTCTGTCACAGGAGGAAGAGGGGTCGGCTGGTGGGGGTCGGTGCTCTGGGGTCTCCGCCCAGCAGCGTCTGCACACTGCGGTGCTCGCAGGGCGAGGCGTTCTCCGTCGCTCAGCAGCGTGCGTGCGTGTGCGCGTGTGCGTGTGCGTATGCGTGCGCGTGCATGTGTGCGCACGTGCGCATGTGCACGTGTGTATGCGCACATATGCATGCATATGCGTGCGCGCGCATGTGCACGTGTGTATGTGCGCATGTGCGTGCATACACGTGCGCGTGCATGTGTGCGTGTGTGTATGCGTGTGCGCGCATGTGCGCGCACGCACGCATGTGCACATGTGTATGCGTGCATATGCGTGCGTGTGCATGTGTGTGCGTGTGTGTGCACGTGTGCGTGCCGTGCGTATGCGTGCGCGTGCATGTGTGCGCATGTGCGCGCATGTGCACGTGTGTATGCGCGCATGTGCGTGCATACGCGTGCGCGTGCATGTGTGTGCGTGTGTGTGCACGTGTGCGTGCATGTGTGTGTGTGTGTCTTTCTCTGTCACCCCCCCAGCCCACATCTAGGGTGCAGAGCCTAGGACTTCGGTGCAGCCTGGGACCCCCGGGGTGCAGCTGGCTCAAGGGTGCTGCCTCACTTTGACCTTTTGGGACTTGGGGTTTGTCTCCCCAAGAAGAACCATGTAACTAAGTAACTATGGTTCTAAGTGCTTGGAGGCCCCTCTCCATCCAGTTTGCTCACGTGTGTATACGTGCATGTGTGCTCGTGTGTATACCTGTGTGTGTCGGGGTGCCACTCAGGGGACAGTCACTGTGTTTTGGGAAAAGACAAGTCAGCTCCAGTGAGGAAGGTGCCCTAGGCGGCCTGTGGGCCCCTCCCGTGACCCGCCCTCCCTGCAGCCTGCAGCCTGCATTTCAGACTCACTCCCCAGGCCCTCTACAGTGAGAGGGCTCTGCGCACAGACTTGGGGATCCTGTCCCCTCTGTCACCCCACAGAGCATGCCCATCCCTTTAGGTTCTCAAAGGACTTCTGGGGAGGCGAAGACAAGTGGGAGCCGAGTGCGGTGACAGCCTCCTGCCCACCCGCTCCCTGTGGCCCCTGCGTCACCGCAGGGTGGCTGGAAGGTTCCAGGCTCGGCCCTCCAACCCCACACCAGAGCCCTTCCTTAACACGAGCCCACACCTGCGCACGCACACCTGCAGGCACCTGGCCGCTGCTGTTCCCAGACAGCCTGGGGCATCACGGGGCATGAGTTCTGGGTGAGTGGCCTCAGGTGACTGTCCTGGCTCCTGCAGAGCAAGGATCTCTCTTGCATGAGATGGCCCTGCAGGCATTTGGATGTGACCCATGTCCTCTGAACCCTCCCTGTGCCAGCAAACATCTCCGGTTCTCTTGGGCGTGTGTGAACAGGGACGTGGCTGGCTGCTCACCCCCAGGGGACACTGAGCCGGGGCTCTCGGTCTGTCCCTGTCCCTCTCAGGGTGCAGGGCCTAGAGCTTGGAGCCCGGTCTTCCACCCCTCCCCTCACACTTGGCTGCAGGTGGACTGCTCTCTGGCCAGCAGCCTGTCTGTCTCGGTCACTCTTGGAAACTGCCCTCCTTCTCAACCCGGAAGACCCGGTCCCCTGCCCCAGGCCATTGGGACGGTCACAGGCGGCAGTTACTTCCCGGAGGCCCCAAAAGCTCAGAGCAGGTTCGTTCTCCCTGGTGGGCACCCCAGCTGGCTTTCCGGAGTGACAGAGGTGGTCTGGGGTCATTCCTTCCTTCCAAAGAGACGAAAACTCGACCTCTGGGAGGCGCCAAGTGGGCTGCTGACCCTTCCCTCTGGCCTCTCCAGGTTGCACGCCCGCTCTCCTGCCTGGCTCCAGCTTGGGGGCCGAGCCCCGGGGGGCTCAGCGCCTCCTCAGGAAGCTGCCCTGCCACCCGCTTCCCCCGTTAGGCCTCACAGCCCCCCTGCCCCTCGTCCCTGCCAGCTCCCCTAGCCCACAAATCACCCCCGTCAGAAATGCTGACTTATGAAGCAAAGCGATGGAAAAATTCTCTTAACCCTGACAATTTTTTTTTGCACATCATCCGAGGCTTCCTGCACCTCTAATTGCGGCCTCCCTGCTGGGCTGGTTCTCCCGTTGTGTGGGCACGGCCAGCCCCCGGCCCCGGCCGGGGGTGACTACGCAGGCGGGGACGCCGAGGCAGCTGTGGTCAGCCCACCCAGTGGATTCCGGGTGTGCGGGGAGGAGACGCCAGCGGCTGTCCCCTCGGTCCCCACATGCTGTCACGCAGGCCCCCCCTCCCAGCCCCGGCATGGCGTCCGCCTCCAGCAGAGGAGCAGGCACCGGCAGGATCTCCTCGGTCACCCGGCCCGTTCCTCGAGGCCCACGAGCCACTGCAGAGCCCCGGCCCCAGCCACAAAGCCGAGCGGTCCCTCCTGGCCGCAGGTGCACACGCATGCGCACGGCAGCGCCGTGGTTATGATTTACGACGTCTGCGAGGAGCTCGAACAGAAAGGCCATTCTTGCGATGGCAGGGGCT